CAGCATCGATCTGGTAATTCACGGTCTCACAGTCTTGCAGGATGTGTGAGTCGCGAGCCTCTCACCCTCTAGGAAGTTGCTCGTTCTCCCGAGTCGCGCATTCTCCGAAGCACGGATTCTCCACAGCGGTACCTAAACAACCTATATCTGGGTGCAATGAGAGACGTGGTCTGTGACAGTCGCGCCAACAGAAGGAAGTGCAATACGCAGCCGTCACAGCGAGGACCCCATCCCCTGCCCCCCCCCCCCTTAGCCCTCCGTTGAGAACGAAACCTTCCTCTGACCATGAGCACATATTCCCGACTACGCAATCTTCCACATTCGCGAACTATGAACGCACCAAACGAAGTATGAGAGCGTTTTTGTTGCTTCAGGTATCACAGGATCCACCTAAACCAGAAAGCTGGGAACAAATCTTTGAAAGCTTAGAAGAGGTCATTTTGAAAGGTATCAGAGCCTTCATTTCGAAGCTACCGTACTAGCTCAATGTTTCGCTGATCTAGGTAGTACTCACTGGAATCATCCACTTTTCTTTGCCCATTATCCAGCTGCATGCTGCTATCCGTCGATTATTGGCGACATTCTCAGCTCCGGTATTGCCACGCTCGGGTTCTCTTGGGTAATTCAATTTTAGCCTTTAAGCAACAGCCGCGCAGAAATGAGGAAAGTAATGTTAGCAGTGTTAAATATTTAGATGTCTGGTCCCTCCTTAACAGAGCTCGAAATGATCACACTTGACTGGTTAGTGGACTTGCTTGGACTGCCAGAATACTTCAAGGTGACTATGACCACGCTGAAATACACTTGTTTTTGTTGGAAACGCTGGGGAGTATCAGGGCGAGGGCTGAGTTTGGCACAGTGCCGGTCCATACCAACTGTTGTCGCTCTCTCGCTTCAGAACGGGCTGGCGCCGCGCCAAACCTAGCTGCCCTGACACGCCCCAGCGTTTGCAGCCTGCACAGGCTACAGATGCGGATCTTACGCGTACATAAAGTTCATATCTTCCCCCCCCCTCACATTTCCAATGGTGACAGAGCCAACTGTGGAAGCAGGTCAATGATCTTTTATGGGCCCATTAAACGACTATTTCCTAGAATTCCCACTCGGGTATTGCTAGCAGTCTTATTCAAACTACTGCCGGTGAAGCCTTAACGACAGCGATTATAACGGCCAGAGCAACTGCTGTTGAAGTGAGCTCCTACTAGTGGAAACTTCTTTAGTTCCACTTCAGTTCACTGTGGATCTGAATAGTCTGAATATTTCCAGGCAATAAAGACCGAAGGCACATCCTATTTGCCCAGTGGACTTGTGAAGCAAACCGTGAAAGAGATACTCCACAAAATTCGACAGAACACGGTCAGTGTGTTCTATAAGCACTATAGGCAGGGATCACGATACCTTACCGTACCCTGAAGTTGGAGTCGTTCTCGGCATGAAGTGTTCACGTCCACACATCCTCAACAAGCGGATTGACAGGGTGTGATCTTGTCGTCGTCAAATATGGAAAGCAACGATTGCTGGGAAATGAAATGAGAAATGGGCACCACCTCGAAATCGGGCTTAGTGAAGGTCGGTCTTTCGTTTCGTTGCGAGGACCATAATTGACAAGAGTCCGCCACGCGAAAGGAAGGCGCAACGTACGTGAACGGCTAGAGTAACAGAAAGTTCTTAACCCAAGCGCCGAGGCTCCTCCTCCCAAATGTCCGGTTTGGAGCGGTCAAAATTTCGCACTTTTCTTTGACCATACTCCTCGCGTAGAAACTGACAGCACCGTTACTACAGTAAACGACTGCAACTCCTGGAAGGACCAGGCTAGCAGAGTGGTGAACAAAAAAGGAAGCAAACATGAGGAAAAAATGGAAGATACGACTCCTTAGAGAGAGGGATAAACATTTAAAATGCACTTTGAGAAGAACGGGCGATTCTATCGTTAGGTAGTCAGGTCACCTCGCTCGCAAAAAGCGGGTCGCGCGACAGTTTCAGGGCTGCATTACCGTACCCACAAGTTGTCGATGGAGCAAAAGATTTGCATCATTTGCCGGCGTCCTCGGCCAACATTCTATTGCGGACCGTCTGTCCGTGATCCTTTAATAACTTGGATGAGACACCACAGCTCGTTTGCGAAGAGTGCGGCGTCGCCAACCATGCCACCAACGGCGCTGTTGTTTCCTTCACAAGCGTGTCACCTTGCGTCTGGCGGTTTTAAGTTGCGTTCGGCTGCGAACGCTGAGAAGTATCAGGGTGTGTGGCGATTCTATCGTCGGTGTATAAGTTAGGGTGCGCGTTGGTGGGCCGCCGCATACAAAGTCCCTCGCCTGCCCGTCGTGCTCGTTGAAATTGTTAAAATGATCATCAAGCCATATTGTTTATGTTAATCCTGTACTGCTTGTCCCATTTTCCTATGATGATCAATGATTGTTTTTTCCGCATTCAAAAGTAAAGGGTGTAAGACTGGTCCCACGTTATTTGTTCAAAATTACTGATCCAATTTTGGGCTTTTCGGAACTTGTGAATACGCGGTCTTCGAGACTCATTTGTATGTCGGTAATGCAACTCCGGAATTGTCGCACCGCGCCGCGCGCGCGACGGCCGCGAACGCGATAGTGCGCGACGTTTGTGAAGCGTTGCCGCGATAGATTCGCCCGGGTTCCCGAAGTATCAACGAGGGAGCAGGGTTCAAATGGCCGTTCAGTCTTTCTATAAGCTACTGTTGAAGCGGTGCGAACAACAATCGTGGAATAAAAGGGCCTGCGCTGCACAAAACCCAGCCAACCGCCCAGACGCCCCCGCATCCGCAGCGAACAAGACTGTGTGATGTGCGCCATGTCTTGCCATCCCAAAATATCGGCTAATTGCATATTCATTCAGATAGACGAAGAAAACGCCGGGATCACCAATGCCGTCTACCACGACGCAGTTGTTTTCGAGCGACTGATTGCGTATTGTTCTGAGCATGTAAGCACGTTCTATGAATTGACTCTTTTAGAACTCCTAAACTGTAGAGATGTAGTAGAGATGCGAAAAACTCTTTCACTTGGAAAATTAGTCCCTTGGAGACGATTACCACTTGAACTTGGAGGGGCAGGTTGTTCAATGTGTTCCGCCCGCCGTTTGCTAGTTTCGTGGTCTGCTTTCCTACCAATTTGCATACTCTCTCGCTGCTGGTATGCTCTGTCCTCATTCAGCCGCGAAATTCCCGATCAATTGCTTCGCCTCTCGCCTGCAAAAGAGCCGTATCATAGCTTGTTTTGGAGGGGCTAAAGAGCCTGTTCTGCGCTTCTTCTTCACCAAGCAAGTCGACTAGCACCTACAGTCACGATCCCCGCACACGATAGGGCATCTGACGGGGGCATGGTTTGGAGCGCAGACAGACTAGATTTCCCAGCAGCTGCAGCGGGCTCAGGATGGCACCACTGACGAGAAAAAAGCGCCCTGGCTGCGCCTTATACGCTCCGCGTCACGTCGTCATCGTTTCCAGGGATCATGACTGTACGCTCGTGTTTTCCATCTTGTTCTCTGAAGTATTTTTCAACGAATTATCGTGAGTTCTGCCTTTCAGGCTCATCCCTTCTTGGAAAAAGCAGTGCTGTTAAGCGCGGTGAAGTTACGAAAGTTGAAATGCAACATTGATCCCGAAATGGGGAACTATACGGTGACAAAAGAAACACTAGAAAAGGCAATAAAGGTAGGTTCCTTGTAAATCAGCGAAGCGTGCTCAGGAAAACCGGAAGTGCAAAATTCTCTTCTCCCGTAGGCCGAACAGAGCATCCAAACAAGTCGACATCGATTGATATTTTCAGGAGGATCGCGCTCGTGGATTAATACCATTCCTTCTAATTGCCTCCATGGGCACGAAGAAGACATGTAGCTTCGATCGGTTAGATGAACTCGGGCCAGTTTGTTACCGAGAACGAATTTATCTTCATGTCGATGCTTCATATGGAGGTGAGCTCGGTCACCGAAGAGCTGTTACAGTCTTGTTCGCTGCGGACGCCCGGGCGTGTACAGGGGCCGGGTGTGGCGCAGCGCCAGCCAGCTTACCGTCGATTGTGGTTGCCTGCCAGCTTTCACAATTGGAGAACGGACTGGCGCCGCGCCAAAGTCGGCCTTCCCTGAAAAGCCCCACCGTCCGTACGCCTGCACCATTTCTAGTTTTCAGGATCAGTAGTTTTAGGATCATTCCTTGCCTGTCCTGAATTCCGATATATGTCACAAGGTATGGAATATGTGGATTCACTAAGTTTCAGTACACATAAAGCTGTGATGTCCAATAGTGACTGCTCTCCGTTGTGGTAAGTATAAGAAATCTCGGGTAGCTGAAGAGACTGCACAGATCAGACAAAGTATGAATATGACCTACGGTCATATTCATACACTTAACATCACCGCAATTGTCGGGTCGCAATCAGCGGCTCTCACCTGCGGCGTTTCCATCATTGGTTGTTTCCTTCCTAAATCGATTTCTACCCGATCGCCATTGGTAGAGCAAGGGAGCCGAACGCGGACTCGAACCGCGCTGCTCACGCCGCCTCCGACAGTCCGCAATGATGAGGACTGTACTTTGCGTCACGAGGATCAGCGAAAAAGAGGAGATAGATATCGATTGATTTGTCTCCGTCCAAATGAGAATTCGGAGATCACTCATACAAGAACTTTACGGGTGTTGATGTAGAGAGTCGAAGCATAGCATTGTGGCGCTATCAATATGATTCTCCAGATTGGTACTACATCTAGTTTGCTGCGGACGTTAAGGCGTATCGGGGGGGGATGAGTTGAAGGTGGCGCCAACTTCTCTACCGATCGGGAAG